TGATGATCTTTTGAGGTGCCTTCCAGCCCTAACGTCTATGAAATAAGAAGCTCAGAGTCTGGGCAGCCCTCCAGGGTGCTTAGCATCATGGACAGGACAGACTTGTGGTTTCTGCTCCTCTTGGCAGTTTGTTTAAGTAACTACAGGAAGCTCACAGACACTGGGTGAGAACAGCAGGGAGAGACAGGTACGGTCTCATGGTGAAGGGTTCAGGCTCGGGTAGCGGGGGGCTCTGGGGTCTGTTTAATGGACTTACTGGTCAACTTTTCCTCCGTTTCAGTGAGAAGCAGGTTTTACTGCACTCCATGCCTCAATTTCCCATCCAAGAAATGGGCACAAGGGAACTTCTGTCCTGTCCAAGAATGCGATGCCCATCTAAGCATTAGTACTGTACACAGGTTTCTACCTCCCTCTCCAATTGAGGGAATTATTGGCAGGGCAGTGTGCTGTGGAGGGTCAACTTTTCCTCGGTTTCAGTGAGAAGCATGTTTTCCTGCACTCCACGCCTCAGTTTCCCATCCAAGAAATGGGCACAAGGGAACTTCTGTCTTTCCCAGGAATGAGATGCCCATCTAAGCATAAGTGCTGTAGCCCAGGTGTCCACGGGTTACTACCTCCCTCTCTAATTGAGGGAATTACTGGCAGGGCAGTGTGCTGTGGAGGGACACAACAGCCCAGTGGCTGCCCCCATTCCCTATAAAGTCAGGTTCAGTCAATCAATTACTTAACTATATACAGATATATTATTACAAGAAAACCATTAAAGGGTAAGGACATATATATATATATATAAGCTATGTACAAATTTCCAAAAAAATAAGCCCTAATATACACACACACACACACACACACGCACACACACACACAGAGTTATCATTCAAAATAGAGATGAACAGTAGAACAAACCAGACCAAAGGAAATTGAATGAGCAACTATTCATATATAAACTATTACTTCAAAACGGTTTATGTAAACTGTAAGGCACAGTCCACAAATATAATCAGCAGGTCTTAGACTACCTGGGTGCCCTCTAGGGCAGGGGCCCCACTCCCAAGGTACCACTACAGGAAAGGAGGTGGGGGGAAGAAAAAGGAGAGGAAGACCCCAAAGACTCCTAAGCTCCCTGACTAT